AGCAAAAACCCTCAATGAGAGTGAGCTCCAGGGGGGATGCAGAGAACAGATGGAGATAGGCATCAGGACTACTCTTCTGAGTTTGACTACAAAGGAATGGAAAGAGATGAAGCAGATGCTGGAGAAGTGGGGCGAGGGAGGCTTTTTGTTTCTGAGGACAGGGAAGTACCAGCGCATTTACTGTAAAGGGAAAGATCCAGTAACGAGCAGAAGGGAGAAAGTGGAGGAGAAAGGGGTAGGGAGTGAGGTCCGGGGTGCGTGAGAAGAGGTGGGATTCGGGGCACACGTGGAATGCTTGAAGCTTGACAGCAACTCAGAAAAGCCGTGTGTTACTTCCATTGCAGGATGTGTGGGCAGAATTTCCAAGTAACTCTTGGCATCTTGGAAGGAGAACAATGTTCTAGCCTGGATCCTGGGATATCTCTTCCTTCCTACCCACAGCCCCGGACATGCTGGAGCATGGCTGGAAAGCCCCCATCCTTCCACCTGAACTGCTTCCCAGTGGGTTTTACCCCTCCTAGTCGCTACATCACAAACACAAAGAAAATCCCAGCCAGAGAGGGAAGCCCCTGCCTGAGGTCCGGTCAGAGTTTCAGACACAGGGGGCAACCTGGGACTAAGACCAGCCTGTGCCAAGGCCTGGGCCGGAAGAAGCATGGGGCCAGGCTTCAGGCCTGCCACCCCCAGAGAACAGGTGTGTAGGCCCTCAAGGGAGTGTGGGTGGCCCAGGCAGCTTCCAAGCCCTGGCACGACACAGCCTTGCCCCGAGGCGAGGGGATGGCCTACATGGCCTCCCACACATTCCCTTGCTCTGGGAGCAGAACCTGGAAGTGGGACAGCAGCCTCACAGCCTCTTTCTGAATGGGATTTCTTCCAGATCCTTCCAGAAGCAGCACAGGGCAGGTGTTGGAGGCACTGCCTGATGTCAGGAGTGAGGGAGCAGCGCTGGCAAGGTCCGAACGATAGGACCGAGGCCATCCAGTCACCCGGGCACAGAGCAGAACAACCCAACCACACACAGAGACACCACCTCATGCCTGCCACAAAACCCTACCAGCCACCTTGGCAAAATCCTACCCATTCACAACCACATGCACCAAACATACCTACCTACTCCCCACACTACCTGTTAACACCCAATGCCCAATCGCACGCACCAGACAGTTCTCACACGTAACTTTCTGTGCTCCCAAGACTGACTCTGCAAACAATCACTGAATGTCTGAGTGCTGGAGACGTTGCAGGAGCGCACCCACCCCCGCCCCAGCTCTCTGCTCTCTCTGAGGGGATCTCCGGGAATGTTCTGAAGCTCCACTGCTGAGGAAGTGGGCAAGGTGGCTTCAGAGGGGGTGCCCAGAGAATAGCAGGGGAAGAGCCGTCCAGGCAGAGGGAGAAGCAATCGCAAAGGCCAGGAGGCTGGACTGGACGTGGCGTGTTTGTGGAATAGAATGAAGGCCGTGTGGCTGGAGAAAAGTGACCAAAGGGACATGTAATGGGAGGCAAAGCAGGAGCAGGTGGTTTGGACTTTGTAGGCCAATGTCAGGAGAGTGGGTGTTAGTATAAAAGTAATGGTAAGTCACTGCAAGGATTTAATAGGGGAGTGACAACGATCTGATTTATATCATTAAAGTACTACTTTAGCTAGGAGAAACCATGGGAGGAAAACTCTTTGGGCTTTCAGAGTGGGGAAGGCATTTCTAATTATGACCAAACCCAGAAGCCATAAAAGATAAGATTGATACATGTGACTACATTAAAAATGTTTTAATTCTGCACGGCAAAAACTCCATATACAAAGTCAAAATGCAAGCGTGAAACAGGGAAGGAGAGACCTTTTTTATTTGTATCATAGACAGAAGGCTTCTTTCTGGAATATATAAAGATCTCCTAAGAAATCTTTAATTCAAAAGGCAACCATCCGGTAGAAAAACAGGTAAAAGCAAAGGACAGTTGATAGAAAGATAAATAAAATGGGTGTTGAGTCTATCCAAAGATGCTCGTGCTCACTCGTAATAAGAGAAATGCAAAATAGAAGTATAATGAGATACCACTGGCAAATATCGCACAGGTGGGTAACACTCCACCTTGGCAAGGAGTCCAGGAAACAGGCCCTCATGGCTGGTGGTAGCAGAAACTAATACAATCCTGGAGAAGATTTGACATTATCTATCTGAAGTACAAATGGGCATACAACTTTAACTCAAAAATTCCACTTCTAGGAATATATCCTATAGACCTAATTTTAAAATGTGTTAAATGACATTTGTCCAAGGATGTTTATTACGGTGGTATTTATAATAGAAAGAAGGAAATTCACAATTAGAAGCCACCTTAATTTTCATCAATATGGGACTGATTAAATATATTATAGTAAATAGTATGGAATACTAGTCAGCTGTTTTATGAGAAAAAAATGAGGTAGTTCTGTATCTACCAATAGAGGGAAAATATCCTATATTTTGTTAAAAATAGCAAAGGGGGCACCTGGGTAGTTCAGTCAGCGGAGACCAACTCTTTGTTTCGACTCAGGTCATAATCTCAGGGTCACAAGATCGGCCCCTGCATAGGGCTCCATGCTCTGTATGGAATCTGCTTGGGATTCGCTCCCTCTCCCTCTGCCCCTCTGCCCCTCTCCCCGCTCACTCACTCGCTCTCGCTCTCGCTCTCTCTCTCTCTCTCATTGTCTCTCTCTCTCAAATATATAGATAAATAAAATCTTTTTTAAAAATAGCCAAGTGCAGGGGAGGCTGGGTGGCTCAGTCTTCAAGTGTCTGCCTTTGGCTCAGGTCATGATCCCAGAGTCCTGGGATCGAGCCCCGCATCAGGCTCCCTGACGGGTGGGAAGCCTGCCTCTCCCTCTCCCAATCCCCCTGCTTGTGCTCCCTCTCTCACTATGTCTCTCTCTGTCAAATAAATAAAAAAATCTTTTAAAAATAAATAAACTACATAATCCTTCTTTAAAAAATAATTTAAACAATTTTTTAAATAGAGAAGTGCAGAACCAGGGGCATAGCATACCTCCCTCAGGAAAGCATCAAAGAGTATCTCTACAGTCAAAGATGGAGAGTTGACCTCAGGAAGGAAAATCAAGTAACTGGAAACCTGGCGGTCAGGTGGGCAGTGCTGGCTGTGCAGTCTGGTGTTCTGGGAGAAGTCAGGGGTAGCACAAGAAACACAGGACTTATCAGCAGTGGAGAGTATGGAAAGCCCCCAGGCTGGATGAGCTCACGTGGGAAAGAAGAGGCTGAGTCCTGGGACATGCCCACACTGGACAATAGCTTGTGAGGCCTCCAGGGTGCCAGGAAACTGAGAGTGTGGTGTCAAGGAAGCTGAAGGAAGAAAGCCTTTTGCGAAGGAAGCAGTGGTCAACGGTGTCAGGTGCTTTTGCAGGCCCAGGAGGGTGGGGACAGAGACATGACTGTTCGATGTAGCATCATGGAGATCCGCGGTGATCTTGACAGGGCTGCCTTTGTGGCCTGCTATAGGGATGGAAACGTTGTTCAAAACAAGAAAGTGGGGAGCAGGTTTGCTCTGAGACGCTGGAGAGCAGCACGTGGTAGGGAGCAGATGGCAGAGTCCTGGACCTTCACAGGACAGTCACACCCACACATCCCACCCGACCCCTGCACCAACAGAAACACAGAAACACCCGGACGACCCCAGCCCTGAGCCTCAGCAACGATTTTCAGGGGCCATGGCCCACTAAGTAAAAGATGGTCTCTGCCCTGTGGCTTTGTGCCATCCAGAAACCACACAGCCAAGACCTCCAGAGGCGGCTCTGCTCCTTATTCTCTGTAGGATCCTGGGCAAGTCACCTAACCTCTCTGTACCTGGTTTTCTCACTCTGGGGAAGGATCATGCCGTCCTCATCCAGGGAGGAAGAAATAGTCTTCGGGCCATACCTGGCACAAAGATGTTTCTGAGTGTCCAATGCAGGGTTAGTTCTCCACCAAAATGAGCAATAGGTAGGGTGATCATGTCACTGATCTTCCCAGGTTTGGGGGCACTTTTGAGAGTGAGGGGGTGATGTTAATTACACTGGGGCCACAGGTGTGAGCCAGAACAGTCCTGGGAAAATGCCACGCAGAGTCACCCTTGTGTTAGCAATACCATCTCTGTGGAGACTGAGGGCTCAGGACCCAAGAGGACTAAGATCCCAGGACTCCCAGGGAGGCCAGAAACCCTGGGGTTTCTCCAAGGAGGCCGGGAAGGTTCCTTGTCATAGCACACTAATAACTAAAACAAAGCGTCCTTGTCCCCAGAGCCCAGCCCAGCTGCAGTCCAGCTGCTGGCCCCCCTTCCTCAGAGTGTCTAGGGCAAGGGATCTCTCTGCCCCCAACACCCCCACTCGCCTCTCACAGGATCTGCTTCTGGACATAAATCAGGCAGCCACCCCTCTCCCTCCTGCCCTCACCCCTAGACAAAGGATCCCCTCCACCATCTCCTTTCCGGATTCGCCTTGCCCCTTCCAGTGTGGACGCAGAGTCGGCTCCCCACTTGGTTCTCCAAGGGCGCGTGCTTCCGCGGAGGACACAGCGCCTGAGCCGGGCGCCGCCGTGAAGGGCCGTGGTGACGGGAGGGCAGACCCCCAGGGTGCCCCCCTCCACTCTCCAGCCGGGTCCAGGCCGGCCACCGGGCGGGAACTGCGCCGGGCAGGGCGAGGGCACGGTAGCCATGGTAACGCGTGTGGGCGAGTCAGGATTGCGGGCCGTCCCAGGCCACCGCACTTCACAGTCTAGAGTGCCTCCCGCCCCTGATCTCATTGGAGCCTTCGCGCAGCCCTGCCCATGGCCACCGATGCCCCCATTTCCCACATGAAGAAACCAAGGCTCCGAGAAGCGACGGGGCCCTCGGAAGGCGGCCCCGGTAGCGGGTGGCCGCGGCACTAAACGCGGACCCCCGGCGGCCGGACGGGCTCCGAGGCTCCTCCCCGACCCTCCCTTCCTCCGCGCCGCCCCCGGGGCTGCACCCACCGCCGAGTGTCCCGCCGCCGCTGCAGAGTCCGGCTCCCGCCTACCAGCCGCCGCGCGGAGCTCCGGGACGCGGGCTCCCGGTGAGTGCGGGTGAGGGTCCTGGGACCCGAGCGCTCCCGGGAGACCCCGGTCGGGGTTGGTGGGGGAGAGATGGTGCAGGGGTCTCCCCCAGCACCCCCACTGCCTTCTCGCCCCTCGATCCTGGGTGGGGTGGGGGCTCCAGGGGCTGGAAAGTTCTGGGACACCCTCCTCCCACGTCCGCAAGCTCGCAAGCCGCCCGGGATGGAGGGAAACTGGGGAAGGGAGTGGGGTCGTTGGAGGAGAAAGCTCAGTTGGTGGGGGAGGGGAAGGGGGTGGTCGCGGCGGTGGCATTCCGGAGTGTGGCGACAGCTCGGCTAGACTTGGTCCCCGGGCTAGGAAAAAGCGGATGGCCGGGAGGTGGTGTTGGGGGCCAGCTGGGGGTAATCAGACTGGCTCCACCAGTCCCGGTTCTGGCCTTGGAGGGAAATTCTTTGCGGGTGAGTCGAGTCCCTGGGGTGTGTCAGGCGGGACTGGACAGACAGGACCGGAAGGTGGAACGTGGGGACCCAGAAGGGGGCTGCACCCCGATGGGTGTCCCGTGACAGGGCCCCTCTTGTCCGAGGGCTGGAAGACGGGTCTCCAACCACCATTTCAGTTTTTTTCAACTCCCACCAGGTGAGTGGCGGCTGGGAGGGAATGGTCTTATGATTCTTACAACAGCTCAAGAAAGTAGGAATTCTTTCCCTTTAAAGATAAGGAATGGAGGTTAAAACTATCAAGGGATTCTTAGAAGTCACTGGGCTAGTAAGTGGCAGAGCTGAAACTGGAATCCAGCTATGATTCCTCTCCATGCACATTCCACAGCCCCTCCCCAAAGGCTAGGTCTCAGGGAGTAAGTGGGGAAGAGAAGGAGGGTCTCTCAGTCACACTGTCCTGTTGGAGATTCCCAGAGAAGAGGCATCAGCAGAGATGAGGTGTTGAGAAGTATCTGTGCCTTCTCCTTCTGTCCAGAGTGGAGAAGTCCTTCCAGCGAGGTACCTTGTCCAGATTGTTCCTGGGTGTTCCTGCCCACACCTCACAGCCCTTCCCTCCAAGCTGCCTCTCTGAGAAGTCACCATGCATTTGTTTATTTACCCAGTATTTATTGAATATCTCCAATGCGCCAAGCACTAGGCACTAAGTATAAAGCAGTAAGCAAGACAGAGCTGACATTCTAGTAAGGGAGACAGACAATAAATAAGAACAACAAAAACTATTATTTTAATTTCAAATGGTAATTAAATTCAAGGAAGAAAATAAAGGGGACGGGAGTGGAGTGACCAGGAGGGCAGGGGCTCCTAGATCCAGAGTAATCTGTGAGGCCACTAAGATGATGTTTGAGCAGAGGCCTCAGTGATGAGAAAGACCCACCCAGCCATACAGGGTTCTGGAGAAAGAGCATTCCACGCAGCAAGAATAATTGCAGAACCCCCAAATCTCCCAGTGTGGCCAGAGCCGAGACAATTAGGGTGAGATAGTAAGAGAGGAAAGCAAGAATGTAGAATCTGGGGTTTCATTCTAACTGTAACATGAAGCTAGTAGAAAGTTTTTTTTTTTTAAGAATTTATTTATTTGACAGAGAGAGATCACAAGTAGGCAGAGAGGCAGGCAGAGAGAGAGAGAGAGGGAAGCAGGCTCCCTGCTGAGCAGAGAGCCCGATGCGGGGCTCGATCCCAGGACCCTGAGATCATGACCTGAGCCAAAGGCAGAGGCTTAACCCACTGAGCCACCCAGGTGCCCCAAAGCTAGTAGAAAGTTTTAAACAAATGAGTGACATGATCCAATTTCATGGACTCTAAGGGCCCAGGACCAGATGCTGAAAGGCCAGTGAGGAGGCTGTGGCAACAATACCAGCAGGAGTGATGGGGGCTTGAGGCAGGGCAGTAGCAGCGGAGGGGTGAGAAGCGGTCATGCAGGGTTGGAACCCACAGGCAACATGCGTGCTCAGAGTCACAAAGCCAATCCAAGAGCGCCCACATGTGCACACAGGCCCACACACGCACATGGAGACACATGTGTTCCCACACCCAAGGCAGCACCCAGACACTAGATGTACTCATGCAGACCCACCCGTCCACACCCTCTGAGTCATTCCAGAACTGGGAGGAAAATGTGTGATTCGGCGGCCTGAATACAATAAGTCTCCCTATCACAAAGCCTTGGTATCCGGCACGGCTGGGGGAGCTGGGTCTCCCCCGAGCTCTGGCAGGAGCCCCAGCTTTGGCACAGGGAGGGGAGGTTGTCTCTAGAGTTTCCCTGGATCTGGTGTGCTGGGAGCCAGACCATTATTACATCCCCCATTCACCCCCAACCTGATCTGGTGTCCCAGCTTCACCACCTACTGACTGTGAGAACTTGGGGAGGCCATTTCTCCTCTCTAAACCTGCTTCCTCTCTGTAGAATGGGGTTATCGGGGAGGAAGAATTTCCGCCTCCCTTTTAAGTTCTTCTCGCTAGACTAAGAATGAAATTGACTAAGAATGAATGAGACAGATTAACAGGAAAAAATTTAGTTCAGTTTCGTATGTATGGGAAATCCACACAGATAAGAAATTCCAAAAACAAGCAAAATGAGGTATATATGTCATCCTGAACTAAAGAGAAGGGACTAGGGGTCAGGGACTTCAAAGGGAAGGAATACAATTCACAGAAGGTGAAAATGAGTAAATATTTGGGAAGCAAATATTTGCCAGGTCCACTCAAAAACAATGGGATGTAGAGAACTTTGATCAAATAAGCCTTGCTAGGTTCCTCCTTGCCTACCATACCTAGTTCATATAAAAATGTAGTTATCTGTGGTGATAGGTCTCTTCCTGGACTAGGTCCTCTGAATTCTTTCAGTCAGTTGAAAAAGAGGTAAAGAACTTTTCCTGAATCTAATGGGTTTTAATTGCTTTTAACTTAAAACAATCTTCATACCAAAGTGCCCCCATTTTGGGGTGGTCTGCCCTTGGCCCCGAGAGGCCCATGACCCCACCCTCACAAGACGGTAGGTAGCAAGGCATCAAGAAGTAAGTTGCAAGAACCCAGCCTGGGTCAGGCATCCAGCAAAGAAGGGGAGGGGAGGTGGTGGAGAGCACAGCCCTGGCACCAACAGCCAGACCTTGAATCCATTTATCATTTTAAATGAGTGACTTCTCTCTAGATTTCACAATGAGTGGCCAGCATTTATTGAGCACTTACTGTGCCAGTGCTTTGCAACTGTTATCTTCATCTGTAAATGAGGAGCACCATAGTATCTTCCTCGTGGGGTCATTCTAAGGACTAAAGGAGATAACGTGGCACAGAACTTTAGCTCGGTGGCTGGCTCACAGTAAATGCTGCATAAATGGTGCCTTATCAGCAAAGGCACATTCCCTTTCTTCGGGCCTGCATGCTCTGTGACTTTGGGCAGGTTACTTAACGTCTCTGTGCCTGTATCCTACCTGTGGTTTGGGAAGAACAGTTAACAGTCCTGACCTCAGAGGTCATTGGCTGATCACACGAATCCATCCGCATAAAGAACTCAGAACAGCACCTGGCACATAGGAAACGCTCAACAAATGTCCCCTGGTCACGAACACCTTTTTTTCCCTTTATCCTGTCAGGTTGGCACGGCCCCCGGCACCCCCGCCAGGCACCATGGACTGGAAGACGCTCCAGGCCCTCCTGAGCGGCGTGAACAAGTACTCCACGGCGTTCGGGCGCATCTGGCTGTCGGTGGTGTTTGTCTTCCGCGTGCTGGTGTACGTGGTGGCCGCAGAGCGCGTGTGGGGGGACGAGCAGAAGGACTTTGACTGCAACACCAAGCAGCCGGGCTGCACCAATGTCTGCTACGACAACTTCTTCCCCATTTCCAACATCCGCCTCTGGGCCCTGCAGCTCATCTTCGTCACGTGCCCCTCGCTGCTGGTCATCCTGCACGTGGCCTACCGTGAGGAGCGCGAGCGCCGCCACCGCCAGAAGCACGGCGACCAGTGCGCCAGGCTGTACGCCAACGCCGGCAAGAAGCACGGCGGCCTGTGGTGGACCTACCTGTTCAGCCTCATCTTCAAGCTAGCCATCGAGTTCCTGTTCCTGTACGTGCTGCACACTCTGTGGCACGGCTTCGGCATGCCGCGGCTGGTGCAGTGCGCCAACGTCGCACCCTGCCCCAACGTCGTGGACTGCTACATCGCCCGGCCCACCGAGAAGAAGGTCTTCACCTACTTCATGGTCGGGGCCTCGGCAGTCTGCATTGTGCTCACCATCTGCGAGATCTGCTACCTCATCTTCCACAGGGTCCTGCGGGGCATGGCCAAGAACAAGTCCCCCAAAAGCCGCAGCCTCCCATCCTCCACCAGCCGAGCCTCCACCTGCCGCTGCCACCACAAGCTGGTGGAGGCCGGGGAGCTGGGCTCCGACTCTGGTGATGACAAGGGGCACGCGTCAGCGCCCACCATGACCCCCATCTGACCACAGGCTGGGGAGCAGCCCTGGGGCTACCAGGGGGTCAGGTGGGGCAGTACTGCACTGGTAGAGGGGCCCTACAGGTGCAGGGTGCACCCCCCTCCTCTTGAATTCACTAATCTATCTAATTTCATTGCCGGCCGACTTCCTGCGCACTGGGCACTGGGACTAAAAGTCTCCCAACCCAGAGCCAGGGGAGACAGAGGTTGAAACAAGCAAATTCACTACTGCATGGAAGGGGACACTTAGGGGGCTCGCAGAGGGCTTCTACCTGACCCAGGAGGAGGTGCTCAGGCCCAGCTTCACTGAGGAAGTAATGTCAGAGAGGCAGGAAGTGCTTCTTAGCAGAGAGAACAGCAGGTGCAGAGAGAAGCCTGGAGACCACAAAGAGGGAGATGCTTGCCCTGGTTGGATGCACCAGATCCAAGGGAATCTCCATTTCCTTGGGAGGAGCACCCAGATTTCTGGGGTGGGAAGGAGGTAGTCTCTAAGCAGTGGGAAGTCTGTAGGGCTGAGAGTGAGCTTGTGAGCAGGAGCGGGAGGAGGCTCTGCTGACACCAACCCCTCCTGAGATACGTAGGGACCTTCCCAGTCCCCACTGCCTTCAGGGGAAGCCCCCTTCTGCCTAGTCTTCCTCCCTCCAGGTTCAGATAACTTTGCTCCCATCTTCTCCCCACAAATGTGCTCAACTTGGTGCCAGCTTCTCAGACCCGTGCTCCCAGAGACTCAAGGTAGATGTTTCTTGAAATCAATAAAGGCTGTGTTTTATACAGGTTGGCTCCAACCTCTCTTCTCCACTCCCACCCACAAGACCCTGAGGGCAGGGAAGGTAGCCCTCAGGAGTGGAGAGAGCTCCGCGCCTGTGGGTGGAGCTAGGGTGGGGGCTGCGGCCAAGGTTGGAGCAGAAGTTAGGCTGCAGGGAGGGTTCAACCCGGTGGGGCTGTGGGTTGGAACCTCCCGATATATATGTTGTGATTATAGGCATGGTCACAAGAGGGCGCTGTGCTCCCAGTGCAACGGGGCTTCTAGCCTTTATAGTCAGACTGCCCTGAGCACACACAGTGACTGTCCTCTCTGTAGACAACTTAGACTCCCACCACCTTTATAACCCAGTCACTGCCATCAAGAACCCACATCCCCACCCTGTGGACACAAAATCCCTGTTATTCATACTCTGACTCCTCATATGTGCTCACAACGGCCCAGTAGTCTCCTCTACGGCCCAGTTGAGTCCCAGGGTCGCTCAAACATTAACCAGCTCCTTCCACTTTCCCTGAGCGTTTTGGGCACACCAGGGTCCTGGCCGGATGCTGAAACTGCACAGGGGGTGGGAGCTGAATTCCAACAGCCCAGAGCCTGGGGGAGGAAGCGTGGGGGTGGGGAGGCAGAAAACACCCTCGTCTCTGGCCCTAACCAAATGCTGGGGTGGTTCACAGCCCCACTCCCAGCACCGTGTGGTGACCTGCAATTTAGAGGACACCAACATCCAGGACAGACCAGAATGGAAAGCAAAAGGGGGTGCGGGGCTCTAAGAATCCAGAAAAACATTTAGTGACTATCAAAGCCAAGGCCAGGAGCCAGAAATCTAGGAGCAGTGAGCCAAGAGCCAATGAAGGCAAGGAGAGGGCAGATCACGGCCATCCACAGAACAGGCTGCGGCTCACCTTTGCTCTTACATGTGGTCATTAGTGGGGTGGGCAAGCCAGCCAAATTTCAAGGGCCTGGCTGACACCCAGCCCCCAGTTCGGAATCATAGCTTAACCACTTCATGACCATCGTCACCGCACAAGCTGGCACGTGGGCAAACTTTCAGGATTTCTGTCTTGTCGTCAGTACAGTGAATTGCATCAGTCAGGGGCCAACAGGAAACAGATGGCACATTCAAACCCAGTAACTTTAAATTTAGAGTTTCCTTGAGGGATTCTTTTAAAAGGGTATGGGCGTGATTGGGGCGCCTGGGTGGCTCAGTCGGTTAGGCATCCGACTCTTGATGTCGGTTAAGGTCGTGATTTTCAGGGTCATGAGATCCAGCCCCACATCAGGTTCTGCACTGGGCATGGATCCTGCTTGAGATTGTCTCTCTCCTTCTCCTTCTGCCACTCCCCCTGCTCATGCTCCCTATCTCTATCTCTATTTCTCTCTCTCTCACTCTTGCTCTCTGAAAAGAAAAAAAAAAAACTGAAAGGTATGGGCATAATTAAGGAAACCCACAAAGACCACTTCAGTGCCCTGAGTCTAGGGACAGGGTTATCACAGACAGGGGCCACATTGGAGCTGCAGGATGCATTCAACCCAGGTGACCAAATAAATATTCCCAACTTCACCATCACATCTCCTGCTTTCTGGCCAGCGGCTCCCACCGACCCAGCCCAACCAGAATCTGAAGGGCAAGGGAGCCCAGGGAGGCATTCCGTAGGGCTCAGCCTCCAGGACACAGAGCAGGGTAGAGAGTTGATCCGAGGGACAAGGGAACATATGCAGCCCGGCACTCAGAACTCCTCAGCTGGTTGTACAGATGGGAGGTCCTTTAGGTAATATGGCAGTACTGTGCTAATGTGTCCAGCAAATATCCAAGCAGCAGTGTGCTCATGGCCCAGGCCACATCATAGGTCTGTCCCAGCTCCGACTGGATGATTGCAAAGGTCTCAGGGAAGGCTGATCTCTCCTACTTGCTGCCAGACATCCCAACATCCTCCAGGACGGTTTCAGCTGCCTGGTCACGGGTGGCTTGGAGGTCAGAGCACCCGGAGGATGTCATCAGCTATCCCAGCACGACTGATCTTCTCCAGGTTGTGGACAAGGACAGTCAATTAGGGACTCTCCCTGCTCTGTGTGTCCCACGTGTGGCCTGAGAGCTGTTCTGAGCCGGGCAGCTCAGGATGTGTTCATCATCCAGAGTCCCCGGCAGACCAGCAGACCGGGCTGTCACCACAAGGTGGCTCTCATGCCAGCCTTCTCTTCTCAGGATCCACGCCTCTATCTCCTCCTTCCTCATCGCAGGAGGATTCACTTGCAAGCTTCCTTCAATCCCGGATCAGATAGGTTTGGATTTCAGATACACAACCCTCACAGGCCCACCTGCTGCATGAAGTCATGTGGGTCACCGTGCAACCCAAGGTCAACATTATCTCATATTCATCACCCTGGTCCAAGCCTCCTATTACAGATGGAGTGTTTGTGTCTTCCCAAAATTCATACATTGAAATCCTAATTTCCAATGTGATGGAAATGGGGCACTTCAAGATGGAGCTCTCAAGAATGGGATTAGTGCCCTTAGAAGAGACACGAGGAGGATGACCTTTCTCTCTTCACCATGTGAGAACACAATGAGATGACAGATCTGCAAAAACTGGGAAGAGGGTCCTCACCAAGAACCCAACCATGCTGGCTCCCTGATCTTGGACTTCCAGCCTCCAGAACTGTGAGAAGTAAATGTCCATTGTCTGAGCCCTCCCCACCCCCCAACATCCCCCAGTCCATGCTATTCTGTTCTAGCAGCCTGAGCTAAGACAACCACATCATCTTACCCCCTGGATTACTACAACAATGTCCCTGCTTCCTGCCCTGAGCCTGGGAAAGCAGAAGAATGGGAAGGGGAGGAAGCAGGACCACGACAAGATCTGTCCCAGGGCGCTGTATCCATTAGACAAAGATGGCCCATGAGAGGAGTCCCTGACCACCACTTGGCTCAGTCCCCACCTGGGGCCATCCCACAGAGTTTGGCCACCTGGACAGCGGGGGCAGACCTGCCAGTGAGAGCAGCTGGAGGCTGTCAGCTGCCCAGACTCCCGCAGCTGAGCAACAAGGCCTGTCGTGAAGGGCGGTGCGGTCCGCATTCGCCACTCACCCCCTCAGTCTATTCTCAGCAGCACAGCCCCAATGAGCCTATAAAACCCAAGTCAGGCCATGTTGCTCCCTGACCCAAACCCCCTCACCCCCCACCAAGACACCTCCTACAGGCTTTAGGGGGCCTCTAAGATCTGTCCCACCCCACACCCTCCATGTTCTCCAGCATGATCTTCTCCTTGCTCACCTCACTCCAGCCACACTGACCTCCTTGCTGTCCCTCAAGCAGGAAACACCAGGCATGCTCCATCCTCAGGGCCTTTGCACTCTCTGTTCCCTCTTCTGAAAAACTCTCCCCCAGAGAGCCACAGGACTCCCTCCTTCCTTCAGGGTATGCATCAAAACGTCAGCCCCTTAGAGGGAGTATCTCCTCTCTTCTGTTCAACATGGAAACTGCACCCCCTGCACCCTCTCCCTTCTCCCCCTCCCTGCTTCCCACATAGCATTGATCACCAACCAGAAGGTTCTGTGTTCTGTCTCCCTATAGCTAGAGTGTCCTATCTACAAGGGCAGGGACTTTGGCTGTCGTCCCCTCGATGGTCTCCGGTGTCTAAGTGCCACAGCTCCAGGGGATGCTCAGTACAAACCTGTTGAATTAGTAAATTCATACATGAGCCTGGGGTCCTGCTAGGTGCTAGGGATGTAAGCAAGACCCAGCTGCCTGCCCACAGGGGGCCCACAGTCTAGTGGGGCTGGGTGGGAGGGGGTAGACACAGGGAAATATGCACCTAGGGTAGGAGGAGGGCAAATAGGGAGTTACTTAACTGGTACAGAGTTTCAGATTTGCAAATGTAAGAAGTTCTGGAGCTCTGTTCCTCAACAGTGGGAACGTACTTAACACTACTAAATGGTACATTTTCAAACAGTTAAGACGGTAAATTTTATGTTATGTGTTTTTTACCACCATTAAGCATAAAATTTTTAAGAACAACAACGAAAAATCCCAAAATAGAACAGTGTACCCAGAGGTAGGACCTGAGCTGCTGATGGCACAAAGGCTCCCCCTAAGCCAGTGGAAGCGGAGGCCAGCAAGGGGACTGACTTCAGGGAGAAGGTGACATGGAGCAAAATCCTGAAGCCCTCGCAGGTTCAGCATGTGAGGGTGCTGCAGGGGGAAGGTGCAGACACAGGCAGAGTGTGCAGAGAAACAGAGTAAGGAGGAAGACTGAATCACAGAGGGAAATGGGGAGAGGGGTGAAGCTGGAGAAGGCAAT